ATAGCTTGCATTCGCTTTTTTAGGATTAGGGTCAGGGAATCGGGTTTGCGCATAGCTTGCAGTCTCTTTTTTAAGGTTAGGTTCAGAGAAAAGGGTTTGCGTATAGCTTGCAGTCTCTTTTTTAAGGTTAGGGTTAGGGAAAAAGGTTTGCGCATAGCTTGCATAGAATGTCATGCCTGGCATATAAACTGAGGAGCACTTGCCTAAAGAGGCCAATGATGCTCATGGACAGTCTGGGCATTCCCCATCCTCACCTTCCCTGTCACCCTCTTCTGCAGAGCCTCTATCCCTCCCCTGCAGCACCCAAGGTGAGCAGGGTGTCCCACCACACCTCATTTCATCCACAAACCATCACAGGGCTGGGAGGCTCCAGCTGTTGCTGCCTGTTCTCCGGCTTCTCCTGCTTATGCACTTTTGGCTGTAGCCTCTCAGCCATATCACCAGGGCTGAGCGCAGACTCGTTTCAGGCCAACATGGACAAAGGGACCCAGGACCCTGCTCTGCCTCACGCACCGTAGTGTTTGACAGATGTTCAGGCAACATGAAATGAGGCGCCCACAGACTTCCCTTCATCTCTGAGGCCAGAGAAACATGGCTGGGCAATGGCACCTTCTCCAGGGAGGTGTTTGGTGACTGCAGAAAACCAGAAGAACTGTGGGTGTTGAAAGAGAAACTCCAGGAAGGACAACCCCACTTCCACCCCCCACAGCACATGGGGTTTACAGACATCCCTGCAGCTCCCACCGGCTTTGTCCCTGTCCCCAGGAACCTGCCCTGTGCCAACCCCTGGGCTCGTCTGCACCACTTCTGGTGGGGAATTGCCAGTGCTTGGCTTGGAAGGGCAACACATCCCCACAAGCTCTGGCCATGCCAACATGTCCACACCCAGCCCTTTCACCAGTCCCAGCCCTTCCTACACCCATCAGAAATGTGTTCTGGATGCCTTGAGCCAAAAGGATCTCTGTGACTTGCACAAATATTGACAATGTCTGATGGATAAATCCTTATCAAATCTATTCCCTGTATCGTACATGGACACGTGAGCACCTCGAGTGAAGACATCTCCATCCCCCTGTGTCAGTTGAACCTGTGTGTCCATAAACCCTGTGATCCAGCTCCGGGTAAGCCCACACTGATGCTCCCCTGGATGCACAAGTACACAGGGGCAGAGGCCCTGCTGTGCTCACATGTCTCTGGCAATGGGGGTGTGCAATGATCAGGTGCTTCTGCTCCAGTGGAGAACAAACATGGATTTCTCTCTCCCCAGCTGCACCTGTGCCTTCCACTGTCCCTCCCAGAATGGGGTTGAGCTGCCCAGAGACAGCCCTGGAGATAAAAAGGGGTGGCTGGAGAGACATGACGGGACCCTGGAGGTACACTAGGATAGAAAGGGGAGACATCTCTGGCCTGAGCTCAACTGAGACATTAACCAGAGTCTCAAACATTCATATTTGTGTCGCTGTTGGAATGGACTGCGACAAAAAGTATCCAGCAAGAAAGTTTATTGGAAAGAAAAAAGGGAACAGCGGCCGCCGTGGAGCTGTCTTTACAGCTCCTTAAATGCAGGTTTTTAGGCTCACGTATTCTACACAAATAGGTTAATTCAAATACACAATCCACAATTCTCAATAGGTGGATTTTCTCAGTCTTACTTTCTGTTATAGATTAGGAAATCAGGGGAATTTTTCTTCCCCCTGCCCCACTCCAAGGGAAAAAAAACGGAGTGAGTGGGGGGGGGGTGAAGGGAGGTCATTAGTGTTACAAAAGATGTAGCCTGCCTAGGTTAATGGCCCATTTTGGAGGGGGGGGGAGGGGGCTGGTTCTGTTCGGAGGCGAGGAGGCAGACGGCGTGGCTGGCTCCCTGGGTGCAGACAGGCATTTTTGGTGAGGGGGACCGGAGGTCTAGTTTTCTTTTGGCTGTTCATCCTGGTCAGCTCGACTTCTTATCCTGCTGGCTTCGACCTGCCTGTCTGCCCCGCTCCCCGGAGCTGTTGTGCCTCAACAGAGTGTGCTTGCCCGCGGGAGAGGAGGGGGAGTTTTTCTGAGATACCACCACCTGAGACTGCGGTGAGTCCCCGCCACTTGAGACAGCGGTGAGTTCCCGTGGGAGTGTGCTGCCTGCCTTCCTTTTCGTCCCCACAGAGGGAAGGACCCCCATCTTGTTCTCGGCTTCCCCACGCGGTCCGGGACCGCTCTCTCCGGCCCCTCTTCCCGCGGGTGACTGACGGAGCCCACAGCGCTCCCTGCAGACCACAATTAGGACTGTGCTAAAGGACAGAGAAGTATTCTAGACCTTTTTTGTTGTTGCTGTTGTTGTTGTTTTTCCCTCTGAGATTGCTGTCTGGTTCTTCTGTGGTTTTGTTGCTGTTTTTGCCAACATATATATATTTTTCAATGAAGGGTTATTATTTCTTCTGTTTTTCCACATTTTCCTTGAGTAAAGCCCCTTAATTTTGATATTACAATTGCTGAGAGAGAGGAGTTTGGTCTACCTCATAACTCATCCTCCTTAGCAAACAGTTCAGTCTCATCAGACCGTGACACTTTCTCACAGTCTCTCTGCACATCTGTTCTTGTTTTCTTCTTATGTTTACATTCTACTTAGGCACTTTGTTCAAAATAAGTCCTTGTTCTCATGGGACAGCGTCCTTGTTCTCACGGGACAGCTTTCTCCTGGTGTTTTTCTCCTCTCTCAGGGTGCATCAATATTTTATCAGGATTAAGGCCTCTATTCTCAATCACCTTTTCATTCCATGTTAGGGTCTCGGTCCAGCCGAGATTCCCCACGTATTTGTACTCTTCTAATGCCCCTCCTTTCTTGTCTTGGCTATCCTTCTCAAACAAAAAACACAATGAAAAGTCACTTGTTGCCCTGTCTATACCCAGAACAGCCTGTGCCTATGAGGTCACAGGGCCATATCTGTTCCTGCACCAAAATTGCCATCAGTTGCTAGATACAGGTTTGCATTAATATTGAGGTTTTACACAAAGAGAGCTTTGCAGATTCCCATGTTGACTGCCTTTGTATGTCTCTATATGAGCCCCATGAACCAGGTTTTGGTTACAAACCCTGGAGACAGACAGCTCTTAGGGCAGCATTTCACCAGACCCCTCTACTGGGATAGGCCAAAGGCAGCACCTTTCCCTTTGGGGTGCAACTTCATGCTCTCTTTACAGCTCACAGATCTTCCAGGCTTTCATATTTGTCTCTGCCCCTCTCAGAGAACTTGTGTGGACACTTTTCCTGCCTGCACCAGATGATTTCACAGAACTGGGAGGGGGTGTTTTAGTGGCAAAGGGTCTGGGGGTGTTTTGAGGCCTCTCCAACCAAACGTTTCCTTCAGGAGAGCTAAAGCCATGACTATAGGGGGAACAGGAGAAATGCAGCTCCTCCAGGAACTGCAGCTCCTCCAGGAATTTCCAGCACATGCCCACAGATCCTCACAGAGGGGAGAGACAGACATCAAGGTTCCACGTGAACGCCATCTTGTGTTGGATAACACAGGAGGTGGCTGCATCCCCTCTCCCTTTCCCATAAGCTGGAGATGCTGCTCTCTGGGAGCAGGAGGGGCATCAGTGGGGATTCAGCACAGCTGGGTTGGTGCAAGTCCAACAGGGCTGAGGACAGAGCAGGGGCTGAGCACAGCAGAGCAGGGCAATGGCAGCACAGTCCTTGGGCACTGCCCCAACTGGGCTGAGCCCAAAGGGGAGCTGGGGCAGGGGTTGGTCCTGCTCTGTTCATGAGAGACAGGGGACAGAAGCAAGTCCAGGGCAGGGAGGGCATCCCCACTAGGGATGGAGATGTTTCCAGGTTGGGCAGTCCCAGTGCCCCAGTGGCTCCATCTCTCCAGCATGAGGGTGATGATGGGGGCAAATGACAAGAGGAGCAAGGTGAGGACACAGCACAGGATCCAGATCCAGAGGGGAATGGCTGGCTTTGGAAGAGGGGAGGGTCACAATGTGGACAAGACATGTCCAGAAGGAAGGAATGGTGGAAAGGGCTCACAAATCACCACTTGCTTCTGGGTGGGAGCACTGTCTTGGTGGAGGCGTTGCTGCCTGTCAGAGAATTGCAGAGCTTGTGAATCTCACAGTGTCTTGTGCAGGGACCATCCCTGACACTGAGCAGAGTCCCCAGATCACATATTCACTGGATGAATATGGAAAGATGCAGCTCATGCAAATCTGCCCTATTTCCTTGACATTGGTTCTTACAGGTATAGGAGAGACAGGAGAAGGTATGATGGGGAGAGGAAGCAGAAATGCCCTTAGAGTCAAGCAAGATCTCAACTGATGATCCTCTCACAGTGTCCTGGAGGTGGCAGCTGGGCAGCCCTTGGGCCTTATGCCAAGGGTCATGAGGAAGGAATCACTGACCTTCAGTGGCTGTCCCTGCCTGGGAGCTGGACCTGCTGCCTGGGAGGAGAAAGGCACAGGCTGAGAGTCTGCAGCTCCCCCAGGTACTGCACAGACTCAGCCACTGTGGGGACCCCCTGATCCACCATCTATCAACTCTGGGGATCAATGAATGAATGCCCTGTGGCTCTGGATTAGATCTGGCACCACCACTGTCCCCTTTCCGTGATGCTGGGGCAGGAGAGGAGCAGGATTCTCTCCCGGGACTGGGAGGAGTGTCCCTGGTGCCAAAGGCTGGGCTGAATTGCACACTGACCCCCAGCATCCCAAGAGCCCAGGGACATGTCATGGGGCAGGGTAGGGTGCCCTCCCTCACCTGGGGTCTGTTGGGCCTATGAGTATTGCCTGCCTGTTCCTCAGTGCCAGGACTCACCTGTGACTCTCAGGTTCTGGGGAGCACTGAGGGCAGAGTTTCTCACTCGGTTGCTGTTGTCCTTGTGCTGGTATCCACATGTTTATGTCCTGAGCTCCCACTCATCATGGTTAAAGACACAGAATAGCTCAGCTGCCCCTGCTGGGCTTTCAGGCTGTTCACCTCAAACCCCTTGTGGCATACTAAGGCACGGACTCCAAGGAGTGTGGTATAATTGAATCATTTATTACAGTTCTTTCACGGTTTATATACCGTTACATCAGCAGTAAATTCTTTTTAGTAACTTTTCTCTATATCTACTTTTTAGTTAAGCATTCACTGTCTAGGAGAAAATTACTCTCAATTAATTTCCCACACACAAGGATACATCTCACCACATCCGCATTCATCTTGCCAAGTTCCCCTTCTATGTTTCTCCCAGGGTCATATAATCTCGGTTCCCTACACCCACTCCTTACAAAAGATGAACTCTCCCTGCTGAGTCTTGGAGGTGATCTTGGAGGGCAGGAGCTGGGAGGTCACCTGGAGAGATGGCACAGGGATGGCCTGGTACAATTCTACTTTTTTCAGGGCTGCAAAATGTCTCAGATCTGGGTGGGGAAGAGTTTCCTCTTCAGGGGTTCACAGTCACAAACCAAAACCAAACAAACCAACCCCAAAGAACAAAGCTACTGGTGGAGGGGCTCGGAACAGACTGCTCACAGGCCAATATGGTCGGCAAAATGTCCGTTTATTAGAAGAAGAACGTTTATTATATACTGTTGCTACACCTGGACGTGTGATTCTTCTTCACACAGCATTGGATACATAAGAGAAACATACTTTGTTGTCCGGTGTTAATTGGAGCATCGCAGGTGTCCATAAGAGACGAAAAAACTTGTTTAGCTTTCTAAGACTCCTCCTTGACCTTGGCAGGGAGCCTTCTCTGAAGTTCTAACTTCAGAGCCTGTAGCCATGTTAGCTACGCAGCTTCTTTTGTTGTTTGTGCTTTAGCTATGCCAAGGCAAGGCCCTCAAAATGCAGGACAAATTGTTCACCCAATTTTGCCATCTACACAAAGCCCCTATTTCTTCCCAATTCCAGTCACCCACAGCTCCATTTATGGACCTATCCCGGTACTCACCATCCCCTGGGGAGCTGCAGATGTCCTGGGCCATCACACTGGCACCTGCACCCTGGGGCACAGACGGTTTTGGTCAGAGGGGTAGCAACCCAGCTCAGCCCGGTGCCCCTGTCCACGTTCCCACCTGCAGAGTCTGTGCTGGGTGAAAACCTTCCCACCCACATGGCTCGTTCCTGAATCTCCCTTGTCTCCTGTTTGACACCTCCCCAATGCAATTTTGGGTGGGTTTGTGGTTCCAGGTGGATACCTCTTGCTCTCAAAATGGCTCCAGCATATATCAGGTCCCACAATATAAATCCCTCAGAGGGGCTGGAAATCGCCCCCTTTGCTCAGAGGTCCATGGGAGCTGGAGGAAGCAATCATCCTCCTGCCTTCCCCAAAGCAGCTCTGTCCCTCATTGCTGCACAGCTGCTCCACACACCCTTTCCCTGGGTCCTGCTGTACTTTGGGGGACATGCAGCCATTGGGTCAAACCAGGGCAACGCTGTGGGGGAGGTTGCAGGGGGCTGGGGGACCCATCTGGCTGCTCAGGCCAGGCCTGACCCTCCTGCTCTGATCTCACAGCTCTGACAGCAGTGTCCTCAGGGAGGAAGTTCTCTGGCTGTGCAGATCAACGACAGCTGGACGGGCTTCTATTGTTGACACAGTTAGGGTTTGCACAGCTTGTTTTCTCATAGGCGCAGGTCTCGGAGCTGGGAGAGCAAGTGAGGCTCTCTCAGGAGGAAGGACTGACCATCATCTCTGCCAAACATCTCTGATCAGAGCCCAACCCTTCATTTCTCTGTCTCAAGGCAAAAGCCATTCTGTTGGAGCCTTTCCTCCCTTCCAGGTCACAGATGATCTGGGAAACATCATAGGAAAGGAAACAACAACAAGAACAAATTCAATCTGAGTAAGTGTGTTTTAACCTAACAGGGCAGCAGTGAAGATGTGTAAATCCTAAGCCTGGTGTTCTCTTTTGCAGTTGTCCTGAGCTCATGGGAAGGACAGCGGGTGCTGGACTCAGCTGCTCACACACAAACCTCTCATGACAGCAGAGATGCCCTGGGCTGTCCATCCTTATACCCTCAGAAGGGCACAGCTCTGCTCCACAGGAGAGCTGCCTCACTCTTGGGTTTGGGGTCACAGCTCAGATCCTCCACATTTTAAGATCAGCCAAGCCCATAAGAACATACCTTGTCCTTCACTAGTTGCAATTCCTTTTCCTGAAGTCAAGGCTGATCCCTGACCAATATGATTGTCTGCATTTGAACTACTCCAGTCAGGGGCAGATGGGGAAGGTTTTGCACAGGTGACCACAGAACCTAGGAGAGAACAAGTGGAACAGACTAAGCTGAAATGACAGTTTTTATTGATTTACTTATTATAGGTAGGAGTTTTTTTTCAAGAGACAGGTCTAGACAGTACGCAAGTATCACATACAGGTGAACTGCTACAAATCCTATCCCTATAGATTTTCAGTCCTTTGTTTTTAAAGAGAATGCAAACCAAGTTCAGAGACAACCCTCAAAGCAGCAGCAAAAGTATTTGTCCTAGCACACACCCACACCTAGAGCATTCAGAAAGGAAACTTCTCTAGACTGCCTTCCTTCCAGCTAGCGGGAAACTTTCTTTGAATATCTGCAGTAAGTTAAAAGTGGCATGATATTAAGAAAGCATGGAAAACACTGTTGTGCAAAGACAAACCCAATGCTTTAAAGCACAGACAGACCCTGCCAGTGACATCCAAAACAGGAGAAAAATCCTCTGTGTGTTCAATGTGCACAGAGGGATTGCGTTACAGTTGAGCTTCACATTCCCTGGACTAGACAGGTAGGTCTGCAAAAATTACTAAGGAAATGCTTGCAATTTGTTATTAAATACTTCACCAACTTCTCTCCACTACAGCCTAAATAACGTACTACAATGAGTATTGTGAAATTCAAACAGTAATGATAAGCAGCATGAGAAAAGCTTCATTCTGACAAAATACCGAAACGTCTCTCTAAGAGAGTGCAGTCACAGTGTCCAAACGCCACAAAGGAAGAAGCAACGTTTTAGTTCAAATAGCTCAGCACCATACATTCCTCCAGCAAAAATTCAAATTTGGTCTGGTCTAGAGCTAAAATTCCACTCCAGTAGTTTTAGGATCAGCAAACCCAATGAAATGAAACAATCCTCCATTCTCCAATCCAGCAAGAGACACTTGTGCAATAGTTAATAATATCTGCCACAACTGGAGATGGAGGGAGGGACAAAAAAAAAAACAAAAACAGAACTATTCTACGAGCTCACTCTCTATTTTTTTCTTTTGAGAAAAATCAGAGTTTCTCTTCCCTCCCAGGTGAAAAGTGAGTCTTCTCCCAAAAGAGCACACTCTCTAGTTTTCTCCACACTTCTCTCTCATGGAACTGAACCAAGCAAATCTCCATTAACTCTCCAAGTAGCAGAGGCCAAGCCTCAGTCAGCAGCAAGTCAGTAACTTTATTGCTATTTCTGTGCTACGATCAGCTACCTCCTCCAATATTTCCTGCAATGCTAATGGTAAATCCTTTACATGTGCAGGAGAAGCCAAGGTGAGCTGTGATTACCTGGAGTCCCAGGGAACCGAGGGGAAGGTGGGGAACAAGCAGAGAGCAAACCCCCCCAGCTGCTTCTCCCTGCAGCCCACACGGCAAGTGCAGTTGCCCTGGGATTTCATGCCCCCTGTGTCTTTTGCGAGCCTAACAAGTGAATAAGCAGGTACTGCAAGATACGCTTCCTCTATACCTGAGGCAGCACAGACCCTCCCCGAGGAACTGCAATGCCAGAGCACATCTGAACATGGCCCTCCCGCCTGCCGCTCTCTCCGCCCCTTCTCCTCGCGGCGGCACGCAGGTGCGGCTGCCCAGAGGCAAGAAACTTGCCTGTCAGTTCCCCTCCCTGCAGTCCCCGATGGCCGCGGGAGAGGCAGAAGAGCGGCCGCGCCCTCGCCGGGCCCCGCTTACCCCGGGGACGATCTCCTGGAGAGCCAGACGTTGGATCTGCCGCCGTGGGTCGCTTCCGGGGGGGAACGCGGCGGCGCAGCCCCGACAGCACCTCCAGCGCACGGCGGGACCGAGCGGGGCGGGAGCGGGAGCAGAGCGGAACGGAGTGGCAGGGCGGGGCGGCGAAGCCGCCTGAGCGCCGGTCCGCTTTCTGCGTGTGGTCCTCGCTTGTCAGCCGCGCGCCGCGTCCCCAAGCGGGGCTGCCCGTTCCGGTGCCTGCCGCCGGCGCCCGGCGCCGCCGAGAGCCCTGCCCTGTCCTCACAGCGGGAAGCACTGCAGCGAGACGGCGCTGCGAGCGCGGGGTGGAGGTCCGGGTAGCGGTGGAGCTCAGGCAACAGGATAGACGCCTCTCTGAGGCAGGGGGCCTCGCGCCACCATGTTTAGTGTCGTCCTGGCTCATTTCCGGTCCTGGTAGCGCCATCTTTACTTCTGGCTTGGCGGACTTCCGGGTCAGGGCCACCATCTTTCTGTACGGCATTGGAGGACTTCTGGTCTGAGAGCCGCCATCTTTCTGTGCGGCCTCGCAGGACCTCAGGTCCGGGGGGCGCCATCTTTGCTGAGGCGTTGAAAATATTCCGGTCGCTCCCACTCCCGGTCCCCAACTTTACCCTTTGAATGTCCCTCACTAATTTCTACGGTTTCACCTCAAAATCTTCATTTTTTAGTCTGCCCCCCCCCCCCCGAGAGAGACGGGAGACCACAAGTCCCGTCGTGCCCCGGGAACCGCCAGGCCCCAGCGCGGCCGCTCCTTCCCTGCTCGGTGCCGCTGGTTCAGCCGCCTCCTGGCGGGCCCCGCCCCCGTGAGCAGGCCTCCGAAGGGCCGCCTCCCCCTCCCCGTTCTCCGCTGCTCTTCCCCTCGGTGCGGGCGGGACCCGCGAGACTCCCAAGAACAGCCGCGGCAGGCACCGCGCGTGTGCAGGGCCCTTCGCTGCAGTGCCACCCTTAAGTTCAGCAGGGGGCGCTGCAGTGCCATGAGAGTCACTGCGCATGCGTCATTCCCTCTCTTGACCGCCCTTAATTACCACGTGATCGCGGGCGTCTCACAAATGACTGCGCATGCACCGACGCCGCCAGCTTGGTGGACCTCCACCACGTGACCTTCTGGCTTCGCTTTCTTATGCGGACGCCTCACCTGCTTTTCTGGGGTCCCACTCATTCTGGGGCCCTTCCCTGACATTTCGCGCCTCCCCCTCCACTTTTCCGTGTCCCTGGGGTTCCCCCACCCACGTTTCGGGGTCCCCTTCTCACATTTTAGGGGTGACCCCCAATTTACGGTTCGGAGGGCGGGGGGTGGAAGTAAACGGGGTGCCCAAGAAGGGTTTTTTTCCTCTTTTATTTCACTTTTTATTTTATTTCCTTTTTAGTTTTCTTGCTTTTAATTTTTTTATTTTCTTTTGTATTTTATATTTCCTTTTTCATTTCGTTTATTTTTTATTCTCTTTATTTTTCATTTTCTTTTATTTCTTGTTTGGTTTTTATTTTTTTATTTCTTCCAGAGAGGGAAACACTGCAGCTCCTCTGGGCCAGAGAAAGGTTCCCCTGCTCTTCCTTTAAACACAACGCCTGGAATTAGTGCCCTGGAAGCCTGGTCCACTCATTCCAGGGACTGACGCTCACTCAGAAGGGCTTTGCCAGCATCAAATGGAAATTACATCATGGGCAAACGCACTTCCAGCAGGACTGCCGGGACACTCCTGGCCAAGGCGACCGGTCTGTGGAAGTTAGACCAGTGGCCACCCGGGGGGATTTTCCGGGGGATACTTCCAGGTTTTATTCTCCAGAAACTCCAGTTCTTTCTGGCACCGCTTGCTTCAGTCTTCCCTTGTTGGAAGAGGTCACTTAGTCTTTCTAGGGGCCAGATTGCCAAAGCCCGGCCAGTCCATTCCCTCCCGCGCTCAGGGCCCGAGGGGCAGCCCTGCCCCGCACAGGCCCCGGGGCTCGCCTTCAGGCCATCTGTCCCAAGGCTGGAGCGATCCTGCCATCATCCCGTGGCCACGAGCGGTACAGAAAGCCCAGGGCCAACAGCAATTCCAGGCAGCTGCAGGTAGATGTTATCCCTTCCCAGCTTTTCGGGAGTGGGGGGGGAAGGTGCCTTTCCTCGTCCTGCAGGGGCAGTCGTCCCCGCCGCAGAGCCTGCCCCGATCCTGGGCCTTCTTGAAGACAATTCCCCTGTCACAGCCCACTTCCTGCAGAAAAATTTCCGGGGTTTAATGCGGTTTTTTTTTTGTTGTATTTTTAAATTTTTATTTTATTGTTAAATTTCGTTATTATTCTCTTGAAACCCGTGGAAGGCGGCCACCTCCCCCCACCACTACCCTACCCCCCCCCGGCCGGTCCCGGCCACTGCCTGCCCCGCGGCCCCCCGCGCTTCAGGCCCGGCCCGGCCAACGCCTCGCTCTGCGCAGGCGCCGCTTCCAAGCCCGCCCGAGCGCCGGGCCCTGCCTCGGCAGTCGCCGCCTGGCGGACACGGCCGGGCGCGCCACTGCAGCCGCGCGCCGCCCCCCTCGCCCCCAAAGACCTCAGGGACTCCCGGAGCACAGATTGGCAAAAATAAACGTCCTGCAAGACCGACGTTGCTTTTCGGAAGTCTTTCCTTCATTTTTAAGAACGATAAAGGGCCCAAGCAACAATAAACGTTATTTCATCCCTTTGCCAAGAATAACCCTGCAGCTTGCCTTCCTTTCTGCACTGACAGCAGACAGCTTGGATGCCCTGATGGAAACATTAGACAGCTCTCTCCAGCGTTTCTTAAAACCTCCTTAATCTTTGCCGTGGTAAAACCCACCCTTTTCATTTGATCGAGAAAAACCAAACCAAATCAAACCAAAGAAACCCCACCATCTGACACGGGTCACAAGTTACAGAAGAGACTCCAAGCCACGGGAGGAAAGCTAACGAACAGGTGAAGTTTCAAGGAAATCGCACGTCTTCCAACATCCTGCTCGTGTTGCCTACACTGCCCCCTGGATATGACCCACTCCCAGGCATCTGCCCAGCAGCAGACACCACCGCTGCCCTCTCAAACAGCAGCACTTCAGCCACAAGCCACCACTGTTCCAAGAACCACAGCTGTAGATTGCCGTGCCCATCAGTGCTCTCAGCAGTCAGTTCACACTTCAATACTTCACTAAGTCTGCAGGAGGGCTTGCAGGACTTGAAGGCTCACGCTATTGTGTGGCACTCACTTGGTGTCTATGGAAACCATTCTGCTACTACGGAATGTTTTCTCCTAGGAAACACACCCATTACACAAGTTACACATCTGACCAAAAGGCAGCAAGTGGCCTCCAATCCCACCAATTGTCTTCTGGCTGTCACACATCCTTAGCCTTAGAAGGCAGGGGGCAGTTCCTGGGAACGCCATAAAACACCCTTTCTTTGGACTGCCCAAGGGCAAGTGCTGAGGGCACCCCCCAGCTCCTGCCCAAACATCCTGTCCTGTTCCCATCGATGCCAGGAGCCCGCAGCCTTGGAAAACACACGTGCCCGGGCTGCAGCTCCCAAGGGATGACGCAGCTATTCAAGCGCAAGCTCGCACGCCCGCGGGCAGGGGAGCGCTTACCTGGAGGGCCGCCGGCCCCTCCAACTCCCCCCCCCGCGGCAGCGCGGTCCCTGAGCCGCGGATGCCCCGCTCCGCCACAAGGAACGGACGGGCATGATCCGGCACTGCCGGGACGCCAGGCACGTGCACCCGGGCAGCGGCAGCAGCGAGTGCCAGTTCTCCCCGGCAGGCCCCGGGGCGAGGGGTGAGGGATTCCCTCCACCTGGCGCAGCCTCGGAGAGGTGGCGGCTCTCTGGGAGCACACCTGGAAGCAATGCCGCCTGCCCTCCGAGTGGAGGTCAGCACACCTGCCGTGACTCCTCTCTCGATTCAAAGAAATCTGTGCCAGTCTTGCTCTGCCTGGCCTTGGATCAACTCTGTCTGCGCTGCCAGTCCTGTGTCTTGGCACACCAACCAAATCAGACAATACTCTTCCCACAGAGGGAAAATCCTGTGTGGAAATTCAACCTGTGTTTGCACTCTCCCTGTGCTGAACAGTCAGTAAATATGCAGTAGAATATTTATATATGTTTATATATATATACATATATATATATATAATAGAGAGAGAGAATATCAGCTGGAGATGTTTTATGAGCTGGAGCTGGTTTTAAATGTGTTATCCCTCTCCTTTCCACCCTCCTGGATCTGCCTTTTCATGGTATTTTTCCTTGTAGCCCATATTAAGACTTTGTCAGGAATATTGTCCCTCTGTCACCTGTTCCTCCTGCCCTGCACCCACTGGTGCGTCAGCCAAGCAGAAATGTTTCCAGCTTCAGGTGCCTTAGAAAAGAAAAAAGATGGAACTTAGGGAAGCCATGACTGGAAACACACTGTGTCCTCTTAAAACAGCCCATAGAACAAAATAATGTGTAGAATAAAATGTGTAGTTCCTGTTTCATTAATGTGTCCATGTGTCTTCTTAATTCAACATAATGCAAGCAACATGATGAGAATTCCTTGTTCTTTAGGGAAGCTGGAAAGTAAAGTAGCAAGTTTCCAATCTTGCAAAAAGAAAGAAAAAAAACCAAAAAGAACTCACATACAAAAAAAAAAAAGATACACACAGTATTTTCTTGGAATATCACTTCAGCATTCCCACCCTGGGGCAAAACATGCCCTTTGCTCAATATGCAGGAGCCAGACCTATTTTCCCTGAGTATCTAAGATATGAAAGGCCAGAGAATGATCCATGAGAGGAGCAGTTTCATGTCTCACTGGCTGAGTGCTTTGGGCTTCGCTATGCACTGAATACAAATCAGCTCAAAGCAGAATTTCAAAGGGTCTCTTTAGGGTGTCAGAGTCCTTCCTTATCAGATCCCCTGCTGGGCTGCAGGTCCTGAGCGATCACGATGTGGTTCATCCTAGCCTTGGTTTGATAAGAGTTGTGTTTAAATATCAAATCTGAGCCCAGACAGGAAGTTTTCTGGATTTCCAAGAGTTGAAAAACTTGCCTTGGATTTTCCAAAGAGCACCTCTCAGGCTGGAAAATCAAGAT